TCTGCATATTTGGACACTCTGTAACAATTACCTCTACCAAAGCTGGGAATTTAAAGTTGCAATCCCCTGAGCAGAAGCTTTCTAGTCTTGGTAAAGCTTTAAGTTGCAAACACTCCAATTCGGTGAAAACAATGCCATCGTTCACAGCATCACCCAAACATACGACAATTTCTTCTATCATCTCACAATCAGCTACTTTCATTCTTCGGAGCTGCCCCAAGCTTTTCGCTGTTGAGTATCTCACTAAATTGACAAGTCCATGACACTCAGATACCACTAGAGTCTGCAAATTGTTGAAATATACAGTGGAGGGAAGCACTTTTAGAGTTTCTAGGTTTCTGAGAATGTCTACTTCAAGTTGGGATTCTTCCTTCCAAAGATGTGTTAGCTCATGAAGTTTGGACAATCTTAATTCCCTTAATGGAGTGCGTCCACGCACAGGTTTTTCCTCACCAGTAACTTCTTCACATTGGAATAGTTCATCGAAGAAAGCATCCTTCACAAGAAGGCTTTCGAGATTGGGCAGGGAGTGGAAGAAGAAAGGAGGAAGAAAAGCAGATTGCTTAGGAAAGCCGATGAGGTGCAGAACCTCTAGTTTACCAAAATACTCCTCTGGATGATGTCCACACCGTATCTTCATGTTGTCATTCCATTTCACAACCAGCCATTCTAGACTAGGAAATGCAGCCTGAGAAATTGACATGAGTGAAGAAGACAATCCAAACTTTAAATAAATCTATTATTCTTTGATAAATTTGTCATTTCTAAGTTATACAATAAATCTTGATTTTGGAAAAAAATAATAATTTTTACACTTATTTCTAACCATAAAAATTGATTTCCACTTTTTTTTGTCATTGAAAAATCACTTCATCTCACATAAACTCATCTATTTTTTCTTTCCTAATTATTGTTTTGTTTTTGCAATTCTTCCATTTTTCTATTACTCCAATTTCAAGAAACAGTAAATTATTATTTAGGTGATTGCTATGTAAAAAATCTTTAATTATATAATCATATAGGTTAACTTCCAGAATATTCTTGTAACAATTTTTTTTTAATTTGAAAACTATTATTCACTTAAATTAGATGAAAGACCTGAGTATTAAAATGAAAAACAATTGATTTTTTTTTTTTGAAAATAACTTTTTACTCATGATGGCCAGAAATTAAATTACATGGAGCTTACTCCCAATATAGGATTAGGATAACAAAATTTTTGCTAGTATCAAAAAAAATGAGGGCAAAACATTTTTAATTTAGGGTGATCAATCTCTACACGTAGGAATTCAAAACAAGGTTGAGATATTTTTTTACAAGTTCTGATAATTTTGTTTCTTTATCTTTAAAATAAAATAAAATTAACACACAGGGAAAACAAATGGAAAATTTTCTTTATTCGGTCTTCATATATTTACTTTTCCTATTTTCTTTCATTCATTTATTTTAAGAACAAAAATGAAGAGCATGTATTTGTATAAGATATGTCCACTTTTCTCCTTTTGGACTTGATTGTACTTACCTTGCTAATCCAAAACATGAGATGTTGAGATTCCCTTTCAAGTTGGCTGTCTCGATGTGTCATCTCAGTTCTTGAAAATTCTGAAGCAACTATTTGTGCTCCATGACAGTCGATCACAACTAAATCTTTCAATGATGGCCATTCTGTGATGTGCGTTTGAGGGAAGAAACTCTTGAATTTCGGTAAGAGTCTAAGTATCAGACATCTCACTTGAGAAAATACAAGCTCGGTGGCCTCTGTTTCCACCAAAGTGGATTGCGTGGCTAGCAATTTTTGTGATCTGGTATCAAAATTGACTCTTTCAGAGTCATAAATTTTTCCTAGAGAATCACAATTGGAGCAAAATGTTGCAAGTTGGGGTAGGTCATTAAGTATCAAGTACTCTAGTTTGGGGAACACCGTCTGGCAAATCTTTTCTTCTTCCACTGTCCCTTCTATCAATATTACCACTTCCATCATCTCACATCCACTAACCCCAAGTTCTTCAAGTTGTGCAAAACTTTTAACCATTGAGAATGTAAACAGATATTTCAAATTGGAACAGTTGACCACCTTCAACTTTGTTAAATTTTGAGCAAATGAAGATATTGATGAAAGATGACTGTTCCAAATTTGCTTTGTATTGATTGAGGATAGAGTCAACTTCTCCAAGTTAGGAATCTCAACCTACAAAAAAATTTTAATTTCAATAAAACTTTTATTCTTGAATCAAAGAAAAGTGTAAAAATGACATGAGAGCATAATCTTGAATTTCATACGATATAAATTTTGATATAGAAAAATTTAGTTTATGAGGAATAACAGTACACATGTTCTTATTCTCGCTAAGACTTTGACCTTTGTGCATCAAATACATTTATGTCCATAATTATCGAAGTGATGTAGAAGAGTGGAAATTATACTCTATGAAAGAAGTGTAGTGAAGTCTTGCACTTGTCCAATTTGTGAAAAAATATTAAAACAATAAAAAATAAAAAATAAAACTCACCTCATCACAAAAGAAGACCTCAATGAAGATATTAGGTTCTTTCTTGACAAGCAATTCCTCACTTCTTCCATCAGTTGTCTCTTTCTCTTGCTCACTTGAAAATTTAAAACTGAATCTAACCATCTTTAGACAATCCTTTACAATAATTTCCTCCAGCATTGGAAACTTGAGGGTCTTACTTCCCACATAGAAACTTGACAACTTGGAGCAAGACTCTAATGAAATGGACTCTAGTTGTGGGAAAAGTATTGAGTCAGATTCAACTACCTCTCCAACTCTTGTAGCCATGATCACTTGTTCTATTGCTGCACAGTCTTTTATCTTCAAGTTCTCGAGTTGCCCAAGGCGCAATACCATGGAGGGGGTTAGAAGGTAGCTCAAGCTGCTACAATTGTTAACTTCTAGAGATTGAAGCTTTTTGAAAGGAAATATTAATTCTTTCGAATTCCTTTTCCAAATTTGAATTAACTCAGAAGACTCAGAGAGTGTCAAACTTTTAACCTATAAAACTCAATAGATTAATTATCTTGGTATAACACAGAACCCAATAACAATAACAATGATATTAATCAAAAAAAGAAAATACATTAATAACTCTATCCAGTTAATCACAAAAATCAAATTGTAGAAATATACAAAAATATTCCTTTTAAGTTTTTGAAATTACTGTTCTTCCCTCTCCATCACTACACTAATGTCTATATGATTATTAAATTAAGGATTATAGAAAATGAATGATCAACCCTTGGTGCTTTTAATGTACATTAGATTTAGAAACTAAGTGAAAGTGAAGCCGCCATCAACTGACCTTGTAAGCTCTTCTTCTAATCCCCTTACTGAAAGTGCTCCTATTCCTTGCCTTTGAGAAAGTTCAAAC